TATTTTTTTCTGTTAGTAGTAGTATCATTGCTAGTTAGTGGTAATTTAGTTTTTTGTGCATTGTCTATAGTTTGTAAACTAGTACTGACGCTGCTGTGACACCTGAATTTCCCCTCAGCGGGACAATAAAGGCTATTTATATTCTATTCCATCTATTCTATTCTAAAGATATTTTTGCAGCACCAGGAGAAACTAAATAAAACTTCTCTGCACTCCTAGAGACACCAAGGACACAACAAAATACATTTAATGGCTAAAAAATGGGATATTAATAAGTCCACTTTAAAAAAAAATAAAGTTGTCGACAAGTGGCATTATGTCTGTCTGTCTGTCTGTCTATACTGTCTGCTACATCTAGTTAGGCTGAGATACATCTAATATCTTTAAATTGGAATGTTAGATGTATCTCAGCCAATTTCACATAAAATTTGTATTTTTAAGAAACAATCAGTGACTTGTTTGAAAAAATAGATTTTTCTGGCGTCACCCGATTCTGATCAACAAATGCCAGGAATTTGAACAGTTTCACTGACATGCATAGCAAAGAAAAGTCTGCAGCTATAGGACTTCATGAATGCCTACTGAGGTAATACAATATGCTGTTCAGTAAATTATACAAGAAACCAGGTGCATGTAGCAAAGCTACAGGCATAACTGCTTTATCGGCTTTTCTGAAAATAATATAGCTACAAGCCTGCTGGAGATTCAGTTCTTATGCATTTGTGAGCAGGTCGCAGGTTTGAAATGATAAGTTTAGTATTATAGCATTCCAAGACTGATAGTTCTCGCTTTCTTTCTCTTCTTGATAAAATTCAATACCCAATGTTATTTCAAGTCAGCATTTTTCAGATCTTCTCTCTGAATTTTAAATCTACAGCTGAGCAGGCCTGCAAAGGCGTTGTTAGTAATTCCTCATGTGGCCCTCTGTGAAAAATAGCTGCCCGTTCTTGCCTTATAGAGAGCAAAATAATATGTTGAGATCAGTCTGCATCCAGACATTATGTCACCATCCAAGGACAGCCGAGAGACTAGGCACTTTGTTGAGAAGATGTGTAAAAACAGCTAGTGTCCCATCCTTAAATAATAGCTACTGTTCAGGGAACAGGCACAGGAGGGGGAAAAAACTGGAGAGAAGAGAGGCAGACAGATAAAAATGTCTGCCTGTGCACTTAAGGGCCAGGGGCCTTTCCACACGACTGATCTTAGACTAAAGGCTTAAATACAGGAGAGATGAGAACAGATTCAACCAGTCAGCTGGCACTGGCATCAGTGTATGAGTGGCACACACACACACACACACACACACACACACACACACACACACACACACATACACACACACACACACACACACACACACACACACACACACACACACATACACACACACACACACTGAACATGTGAACATTTAGTAAGTACTTACACCCACACACCTCTTTCATGTACGTACAGTATCACTACATACGGAACGTGCACAGATTTGGTTTTCGGAATACTGTAATCACAAATCACAGAGTGAAAGAAAGAACCCACAAATAGCCTTGTAATGCTCTGGCTGCCTTCACTGGCGCACATAAATACAAACACTAATGCCGTTGCTTTGCTAAATGAAAGTTCTGTGTCGGGACTTCATCACGCACAGCCCAGCTGCCTGCGAGGCCTGCCACATTAGGCAAGCCTAATGGGCTTTCAGATCAACTGCACAGCATATGAAGGAGAGGAAGGAGGGGCATGCACTCAGTAGGGCATTCAGTTTGTCAAGGTATGTGTGTCACTCTCTTAGGAACCCTGTCAGAGCACTGGAGCTGAGAGGCAGTTGTGTGTAGATACCACTGTGATTATGGGCTTTTTTTTCTTGTACTTAGATTAGTTTTTATTCATTAACGAAAAAGTAGCTTTTGCCTCCCAGAGCTTTTGCATTTCAAAGAAAAATAATGAATTACACACTTTTTAAAGGGATACATTTTCTCCATGTGAGACGAGGATTATGGGAAAGAGCAGGGAAGAAGAATGTGTACTAAGCTCATGCTGATAAGGGATATTTGTACTAAAGAGCTGTTTTAAGAGGAGAATAAATGTGTGAGACTTGGGGGTAAATATTAGAATGTGCAGCCAGGAGCAGAGAGGGGTTAAAGCATGGCAGATTAGTCGGCACACCGAGGGAGAGCAAGAGTACACATTAGACAGTGAAGCCATGTGTGATGCTCATGTAGGTTTCCAAATGAGCTTTGATTAGTCTGAGACTGATTTCCGCAGCCCTCATCACATCAAAACCCGGCTCTCTTCCTTTAGGATCTACTTCCTTTGTCTTCTTTTCCATTTCTCTCTGCTTTCCTTTGTCACACTACAATAAAGAGAATGAATTTATGCCAAACTTTGACTGCCAAAATTAGGAGCACTAAAACAGTGTGGGTGTGCGTCAGCATGTGTCAATGTTTATTACAGAAGAAGGAGGGGGAAAAAATTAATTTCATCAAACCAAATGTTGTGCCTGTGCTTTGGGGCTAAATACAGATAACAGTCAATTGATTATTAATGCATTATTAATAAATCCAAAGTGCCAGGTCACACAGATAGTTGTAGTTATCTTCACATAAATACGCCAATAAAAACAATGCCAGCAGCCAAATGTGTGGAGCAGAAGGTACGTGGATTTAACGCTAAGAAAGCAGCCAAATTAAGATGTAAAGAACTGCATCTACTCAAATTAGAAATGAAGCCAAACGCATCTTAAGGTTTCCTACTCTGCTACACATTCTTCAACTTATCCTTTGTCATCACCRGCCACTCCATGTGGCGATGTCTCCCTGAAGCTCCGCCTCTTTATTCTAGCTGTCCATCACGCAGCAGATTGTTGGCACCGAGCTGACTGAGAGCATACAGCAGATGGTGTGCTGCTATCTATGTGGCAGGCCACTAGCAGGACATTCAACAGCCCCTCCTTTTTCATMCTTCCTGCAATCTCTGCTCCTCTTCTCATGCACATCTTCCAACACACACACACATAGACACACACCCTCTAGCATCAGTTCAGCCCAACCAGGTCACCTGCTGCCAAGCTTACAACGACCATCACACACAGAAAATGCAATATCTCATGGTACATGGCACATTCAAGCAGGTCACACATATGGCACCATTACATGCACGGATTCCCTCCTATTCACTTGCCACGCTTCAACTAACATCAAGATGACAAGAAATTTTATTGACATTCACACATGCACTTTCCACCTCGCGCCACACACTCTCCCCGTGTCCACCAGAAGAGACAGTTTGGTTAATCAAGTGCAGCATTTCTAGCCCGGTCAGCAAGTCAATATTCTTACAACCTTCATCAAACAGCTAACAAATAAATATTACATTCTCATTTGCAATAATCCAGTCAGAGCAGCTACAGGGAACGGTGAAACCAACAGAGGCTTACGTTCAAAATTATGAGCTAGCTCAGTAAATCAATACGTCGTTATGCACATTAGAAATACAAATAAYGATAATATATGCAGCATCAACTCTGGGCACTGATAAACACAKTGGTTTTACTTGCTCATAAATAAAGAAGTAACAGTGCATAAAAAACTTACCCTGTGAGGATGGAGCAATGTTGCTAAAAGCCACAGCAGACGTGAGGAAGATCCAAACCGTAAGAGCCATGTTTGAAGCTGAGCAGAGGGCAGAGCAGGGGATGGTGCTAAAGCTCAGAGGTGGTCAGCAGGCACAGGTGAGTGGACTGGCACTTTCCTCAGCTTACACCTTCCCCGAGGGTGACCCTGCAAGCAGAGAGGGTAGAAATAGCTCAGAGGTTATGAACCATAAAAATTTAAAAGCGACTATGTAAATAAAAAAAGAGATATTCTGCTTCGGGGCTCCTTTATTTTCCGTTGCTTTCTCGGCGCCGAGAGCCTGCCTTTTACTGCATTTGTCACTACAATATGTGATAACTCTGCAGTGCGCAAAACTAAAAGACTCAAAAATGGTATAGCATGGTCGACGTTATATAGAGGGAGAAGAAGAGAGGAGAAGGAATACATAAAGCAAGGCTCTTGATGGTCAAGTGGGATGATCAGRTGGCAGATCTAAAGCCGTTTTATGCAAGATGTGAGGGAAGCAACTGCTGACACAACCGACTCATCACTCTGAAGGGTTTGGATGCTTGATCGAATCAGACATGCTACATTTATTTGGGTGCTAATAACAGCGCTTTATTCATGTGAAAAATATAAGTCTTTTGTGGGTGTTTACAAGTACGCTTGAAGAAAAGGACAAAATTTGAAACAATGAAAAATTGTTCCTCAGTCAGCCGTGCTGTAGGACTCAGAAATCTCATTTGCTTAATAATATAAATCACATTTTGAAACCTGAGCTCTGATCCTTTGACAGTAGAACCAGCGGGGGTTAAAACACAGAAAAATGGCGGTGTTGTTATAACTAACACTGCTCCTGCTGAGCTTAAAGATGAAACAGACGGATGTTTGTGTGCGTGCGTGCATGCGCGCGCGCGCGTGTGTGTGTGTGTATGTGTGTGTGTGTGTGTGTTTGAGGGTGAACTTGAGAGTGTCTTCCTTTATTTAATTATACAGCATGAGGGTATAAGGTGTATGCAGATATGTTCCAGTGTTTCAGCAGAATAAAGATGGTTTGCTTTATGTCAAAAACTCTATTTCTAGCAGYTTAACACATTAAACGAGTTATGTTCGTATTATAAATTCTACAGACTCCTGTTCAATTAGCAAACATGGATATCTTAGAAGGTTGTTTTAATTTGTGTAAATACAAYGAGAAAAACAAAGTACTTTAATGCACAGCATCTACAGCAGTGTGTAATTATTAAAACCTGAAGGAAATAACTGCAATTATCAGTTTAAAATGAAGGTTTATGTTTTTGGTATTTAACTAATGTTTTTGCTTTTCTAACTTTTTAGAGGAAATGTTCCTGCCACCTTCACAATTCAAGTTGAGTAAAGCTTACATAATGTTTTAATTTAAGTTTAATTTATACTGTTTGTTTGCTTGTTTCTGTGGCYAACCAATAATTCATCACTTATTACCCTTTAGACACCATCACAATGACTGTTATTTAATTAGAGCATGAAAACATACAATTATATTTAATTAATCTTTCTGCAATCAACATACATTGGTGCAGTTTTTTGCAGATATTTTCTTGAGGTTGTTGAGTTCTTATCTGTGTCAGTTTTAGGTTTTCTACATAAAATAAAGAATGGTGAATTTGGCAAATGTTGACTTATGCTCTCATACACTGTGGAAAAATCAAACTACATACGTACTTATCCTAAAATACTTATACTGTATTTAAAAAATAAGTACTGTACACATTTGCAGCGATGACTGGATTTTCCTTCTCACATAGTAAAGATGTAAATTCTGAATTACAGAGTGACTTATTCCCACAAAATCTTTATCATCCTCCCTGATCTGGCTTTCCCTCGACCTCTGCAGCCCCTCCTTTTTATGACCTTTTCTGATATTTAACCTCCTCCCCAGTGGCAATGCCAGCTTATATTCACCAACCTGCCTGGGAGTTACTGCATGAATTAGTATGTTGGATGTTGTAAAGTACAAGCAAGACAGAACGAGAGAGATGCAGACAGCAAATGGCGAAGAAGGAAAGTAGAAGAACAAAGCAGACTGCAGCAGCTGTTCTTTGCATCAGCATTTATTTCTATGATATAGTCAACAAACACACACACACACACACACACACACACACACACACACACACACACACAACCTCAATGCTGTCGAGCTTCTGCCATAATTTAAGTTTGTTCGTGAGTATTCCCTATGAACACCATCTGAAGAAAGGACACGCCAAGAGAAAGGAAAAGCATAAAAGCAGCAAACAGACATTTTCTGTCAGAGCACAGTCTTTACGCTGAGCTTACCTCTTCTCTCCACCTGATCTGGCTTTAATACAAGTGGTAAAAAAAGATTCAGTCCCATGAAGTGACAGTCATTTTTTTCCTGTGACATGTGTGTTATTACTAATAAAAGAATCTGTCTTTTCTCTTCCTTTCTTCTGACTTCTGTTAGCTGTACTTTTCAACAATGGCCCTCCTGTGGTCTTTAAAGATGAGGACAGTCAGGGAAAAAGAGAGAGCATCGGGAGAAGGGAGGGCAAGTTGGAAACTGAGGGATGGGAAAGGGGGAAAAATGTGCGTGGTGGACAAATTGATCCTATTTTGTGACAAAACGCTAGCTGGCAGTACACAAGATTCAACTTCATTGTGGAAAGCAGCGAGAACAGGAGGAGTGATGGGAGAGAGGAAAAGTGAAAAGGCCAAAGTGGAGGAAAAATGATAAACACAAATGACAAGAGAAAGGAATGAGAGGAGGAAGAAATGAAAAATGGAGGAAGCACATAGGCGGCTCGAGTAACTAACAGACGTGGAGCAAGAGGACCAAAGGTAGTAAATATCAATAAAAGTGTTGTAGGGGAGATATCCTGTGTAGAAAAATAAAAAAGAGTCAAAAATGGRAGGTGAAATTGTCCAAAAAAAATAACCAGGAGAGCACAGCAAAAGAATAGTAAAAAAATAAACAAACAGGAAGTAAAGGCAAAGGAGAAAGTATTTGTGTGTGTGTGTGTGTGTGTGTGTGTGTGTGTGTGTGTGTGTGTGTGTGTGAGTCAGTCTGCCTCTGGATGGAAGAGTTTGGAAGTTTCGGAGTCCTTAGGGGGTGTGAGATGGGTATCTTCGCCCTTCGAGTTCTCTTCACTGAAGGATGTTGGATGCCTGGGGCCAGAGGGTGACCTTTTACAATGATCACATCCACTATTATTATCATCAATGTTTCTCTTCTAATAGAGCAGAATGCCATATCCCTACCAGACTAGAGTCCACAAAATATAGTATATAGAACAGTGATTTCACAGTGCCGGTGGAAAGGTGAAGAGGGCGAGCGGGGGGACGAGGTGGGAGGAAGCCAAATGACATCCTGTTGTATCAAGATAAAGAAAAACGTGGTTGTCTGAATGGACTAGCAGCTGAATTACACTCAGGGACATAGCTCTGTCATCTTGTTCCAAACACTGCATTTTGTTTTGTTAGCCATAAATTTACAGACTGCCTTGATTCAAAGCAAGAACCTCATTATCCTTTTCTATTGGATCATTACGATAATTATCATGATCATTAGAATCTGTTTGTTTTAGCAGACATGCTTATTGAGAGCAGGGTGTCACAAGTCCATTTTTTAATGCAGGGTGTGGGGAGGGGGTTTGCTCAGGGCTGTGTGTGTCTGCCATAAAAAGCACTTACGTTAACCTCATCACTTAAATCATTTCTGTGCAAAAGAAAGAGAGTTCGAAACATTAACCAACCAGAATCAAAAGGCTGAAGAACAAGGACAGTTTTTGCTGCATAATTGGAAAAGCTGGTGAATCTCTCAGTGCTGCTACAGGCTGTATTTCTTCATTTTGAGCACACTCTGGAAAGCCAAGGCAACTTACGTTAACCGTGAGTCGACTTTGTTTATTTGCATTGCTTGCTATTCTAGAAAAGACATTTTAAAAGGTAAATTTTTTTCAAAGAGCATCCTCAAAAATGTTTTGTATTCATAAAATGCTTTGAAAATGCTAAAAACCTAATGAGTATTTTGGCGCATTTAAAAAAAGAGGATATGTTGTGAGAAATCATGCAGAGCAATGAGAGACAATGTGTGAATTAGGAAAACACAATCCCAAATGTATTCAGCCGAGAAAGCGCTTGTGATTAATTTAAAGATTTGACAGTAATAAATTTTGACGGTCAGTTTCTTCACGCAAAAAGAAGTCTTTGCATCTCACGAAGATGCGCCAGCACTTCCCGTGTTATTAGGATTGATGTTTATGCCTCAGATGTTTCAACAACAAATAGTTGGCTCAGTAGCAAAGCTCCCGCTATGAAGGAAATGATTGCCTCCCAGCAACCGGCACAGTCAAGCATGCAAAAGTGAATGGCAATCATTCACTTGCAAATCAGAAAGTCGTGCAAACTGCTGCATTAAATGTTTGTAATCAAGTCAAAATTTCAATTTGAGAAGACCCGATCTCAAATTAGAACAAACTGAAAACAGCAACTTTTTCCTTTCCCATTTTTTACTCAGCACTGGTAGGATTTGGGTACAGCCATGTTCCAGACGGATGTATTATTTCAGWGAAAAGTATCTATAGACTTAGTCAAGGAAAGACTCGTAATATTGTGTCGAGTACAATGAAACAGTGGAGAATGACTAAAACCTTTGCTTTGCCTGGGGGYCTCTAAGTAATTCTCTCTCTGACTCATCAGTGCTGAAGCTTTGTCACACCTGATACTCTTTTGTTCTCTCAAGACTTAGGCAAGAGGGAGCAATACGAGAAAGTGTAACAATAAATGAGTAGGAGATAGAATAAATTAATTAGTTCTTCACCTCTATAAAAGTAATCACCCACAAAAGTGAATATAATTATCCTACTTTTCCATTAGAAAAGTAGCAGACAAACCACGAAATGTCATCACCATCATCGTCTAGAACCAAGGTTTACTGAGTGGGTGGCTGTGTTTTTGCTGTCAAAATTGCCTTTTAGGATAGTAAGACATAACAGTTACTTTAATGAATATAAAGATTTAAAGTAGATTGAGGGTTTGAGCCGAATGTAAATTAGTGTGTTGTGTTCAAAAGCACACAGATCAGATCAATCAAATCAAACCAGTAAGAAGAGCTATACAGCTCTATTATTTAAGAGAAAACATGACAATAATCAAAGTACAAAACTATCATATTTTAGTTT